ACAAATACAGAAATGGCACTGAAATTGTGATTTGGAAAAGCTTGAGAGCCATGCAGGTAGGCCTCAGATTCATTTCCCAATGGAGAATTTTTGGTCCTCCTTTCAGGGTACCTAGGGAAGATATCTCAGTTCTTCAAGATAAATTAAAGCTTAGCATATTTCTGTCTTTAGTAGCAGGAAGCTGTTTATTTTTATAGATTTTTTTCTATTATGATAGAACTCTTTCTACTTCAAACTTGTTAAAAGAGAAATTATATAATGATTTTCAAATCTCTTTTTTAAAAATGTTGCCCAATGCTTTCACTAAAAATTAAAAAATGATTGGAACTCTAGTAATTTAGTCTAGGAAATGAATTTTCTTGTGTCCTGGATAGCTACTTAATATTTGACACATAAGAACACACAATGCAAGTCCCCTTGATATTAATAAGTATGCCTTGAACTACAGCACCATCCCTTTCAAGCCACAAACAAAAGTGGCAACAGCACCGTTTTTTATCAGTGATGACAACAAACAGTATTTGCTTCATTATATTCATCATCATCATCATGTGTAGGTGAGAGAGACAGATACAGAGGGAGAATTTGGAGAGTTGGTTCTCTTCTTCCATCTCTGTGAGGGCTCCAAGGATCAAACACAGGCCATCATATTTTTGAGGAAAATGCTCTTGCCTCCTGATCCATCTTGATTGTCCCATATTTCTTTTTTATTTTTAACACTCATTTATTTTATTTTATGTGTGGGTTTTACCTGAATAGTCTGTATACCATGTGCCTTCAGAGCCCAGAAGAGGAGGTCATACTCCCTAAAACTGGAGTTACAGATGGCTGTGAGCCACCATGTGGGTGCTGGGAAACAAACCCCTGTCCTCTGAAAAACGAGCAAGAAATCTTAACCATCTATCTGTTTCTCCAGCCCCTATTACTTCTTCTTTTTTGTTTTTATGTTTTGTTTTGTTTTTTTCGAGACAGGGTTTCTCTGTGTAGCTTTGGAGCCTATCCTGGCACTGCTCTTGAGACCAGGCTGGCCTAAAAATCACAGAGATCTGCCTGCCTCTGCCTCCCGAGTGCTGGGATTAAAGGCGTGCGCCACCAACTCCCGGCCTCAGCCCCTATTTCTTGTTTTATTTTATTTTATTTTGTTTTTTGGGTTTTCGAGATAGGGCCTCTCTGTGTAGCTTTGGTTGTCCTGGAACTCACTCGGTAGACCAGGCTGATCTTGAACTCACAGAGATCCTCTGCCTCTGCCTTCCGAGTGCTGGGACTAAAGGCATGAGCCACCACCTCCTGTTTTTTGTTTTTTTGGTGAGGGGTGGTTTGAGACAGGGTTTCTCTGTGGCTTTGGAGGCTGTCCTGGAATTAGCTGGCTTCAAACTCGCAGAGATCTGCCTGCTGGGATTAAAGGCGTGTGCCACCACCGCCCAGCCTGGCTTTTCTTTTTTTAAAGATTTATTTATTTATTATGTATACAGTGTTCTCCCTGCATGTATGCCTGCACCCCAGAAGAGGGCACAAGATCCCATTATAGATGGCTGTGAGCCACCACGTGGTTGCAGGCAATTGAACTCAGGACCTCTGGAAGAACAGCTAGTGTTCTAAACCTCTGAGCCATCTGTCCAGCCCATCCCTACTTCTTTTTAAAGGCCAACCACAGTCCATTCCTCAGATTGCTTCAGAGATGCAGGATCATTTGATTGCAACAAGTATCCACCCCTTTACTGAAGTGGTTTTTAGATGCTTTGGGCAAATCCCCACTTCTTTTCTCTCTGGAGACTGATCTTGTCAGGGTAAAGCTGATAACAACAAGAAAGACCACCTTCATGGACATGTGACAGATGCCCTCACATAAGGGCCCAAAGCCCAAAGGTCCTTGTGCTTGGTTGACTGCTTTGTGATCTCTATTTTGAAATTCTGAACAACCTTGAATTCACTCTGTAGCCCAGCCTGGTGTTGAACTCACAGAGATATGCCAGCCTCTGCTTCCAGAATGCTGAGTTTCAAGGCATGCACCGCCATGCCCAGCTATATTTCCAGTTTACACAGGGTGCTCCAATCTCTGAAGCACATTTAGTTTCCTAGAAAATGCCTATCTCATTCTCTCCAAAACGAAGTTAGTCTGAGTAGTTAATTATTTACTTTTTCTGTCAAGAAACCCTAGACCTCTATGTACCTAAGTACAGTTTCCTATTAGCCCTCAGTCACCATCGTCTTCACAGCATTGGAACCCTCATGTCACATAGTTCCAAGAACTCCTAGGTCATTGACCAGCATGCTGCCCAGTGATCTTAGTCTTTTTTTCTGTTATGTGAGATAAGTTATTTTCATTACGATAAATGTGGTATGCTAGTTGTGTTAGATCTTAGCCTGTGCTTTGATTTCCCTGCTGTGAAAGAATCAGTAAGAATGAGAAGACAACAGTGCTCTCCCCATCCAAGAAAATCTGTTATTATGCCTGCTGAGATTATTTGGATCCCACCTCTTTTCTGCCTGGCATGCAGGGAGGGCAGAGAAGAGAGCAACCACGGGGCGGAGGGAGCAAGCGTGCAGTTATCAGATCAGCCAGACAGGTGAAGATTGCCCAAGACTTGGAGAGGAACACAGTTTTGCACGTCCCTTCCATTACTCAAAAGCAACTCCACCTTCAGGAAGGTGACAGAACTTCAGGAAGGAATGGGTGTGGTGATTTCAGCAAAATTACACTGACTAGCATCGCCCAGAAGCAGCAGAGTCACAGGCTCCCAGGGTCTAGTTTGGACAGTGGACATATTATTAGTGATCAACATGGCTCAGAACTGTCCCCCATTTCTTCTTTGTGTATAAAAATACTGGGGACTAAATTGTGTATGGTGGTGCATGCCTGTAATCCTAGAAACTGTGAGGCCACAACAAGGTTTTGAGTTCCAGCCCAGCTTGAAGTATGTAGCAAGAACTTATTTCAAAAGGAGAAAAAAGACCAAAATCTTTGAGTAAGTAGTAGAAAGGAGTGGGTTTCATTAGGATACCACACGTGGACTAGGGCATATTGAAGTAGACACCTGTTGCCCCAGTTGAAAAAAAAAAAACTGTCTTAGAATCTTGTCGATAAGGGGGAAACTAGAAGTAAGGCAGCAACTTAGAAAAAAGCTTCTGTTTCTGGGAAAACAGTCTGAAATGGGAAGTGCTGTTCCCCTGTCACCTAATCTGACTTAGGTTCCTAAGGATTTTTTAGCACTTTTGTACAAAATACCTGCCAGTAAGACTTGGCGGCCCTTTTGTATAATGCCAGGGCCATGCCCCAGCTTAGACTTTAAAAACATGCATTTGGTAAGGGTTCAGAAACCTCAAAACAGAAAACCAGTCCATAGTCTAGTACTGGTGTTGAAAACAACAATGAATTATCTTTTTTTAAGCTAGAATCTGTGTTGCTTCCATTACAGTTTCTGAGGTCTGTAAATCAACTTTTCCTCCAACTCAGAGCACAAAAGCTTAGGAGAGTAATTGTATCGATGTATCAATTTAAGAGGGCTTGATGAATTAGCAGTGCAGGAAGAGTTGGAGAAGATATCACCCAGGATAGTTGGGCAACATAGACTTCATAGAAATGCCATTTTAAGACATCTTAAGATGGATTTGAGCCTGGCATTGGTGGTGCACGCCTTTAATCCCAGCACTCGGGAGGCAGAGGCAGGTAGATCTCTGCGAGTTTGGGACCAGCCTGGTTTACAGAGCAAGTTACAGGACAGCCAGGGCTACACAAAGATACCCCATAGAGAGAGAGAGAGAGAGAGAGAGAGAGAGAGAGAGAGAGAGAGAGAGAGAGAGATATTAAAAACTCCAATAGTTGTGCGCGTCTGGGACATCAGTCAAAGACCAGAATCACTTAGGAGGCAACTCCTTTTCTTTTCCTTATCTTACTTTTTGTTTTTATGTGGTTGTTTGTTGTGTTGTCCTTTTTTCTTTTCTTCCTTTCTTTCTTTCTTTCTTTTTTTTTTTTTGGTTTTTTGAGACAGGGTTTCTCTGTGGCTTTGGAGGCTGTCCTGGAACTAGCTCTTGTAGACCAGGCTAGTCTAGAACTCAGAGAGATCCACCTGCCTCTGCCTCCTGAGTACTGGGACACCACCACCTGTCGTGTTCTCTTTGTTTTGTTATTTGTTTCTGTTGTTACGGGTTCTTAGCAGTACAGTGCTGTTATGGGACTCTACTCTGGGAAGAAATGAACAATTGTCTATTCACTAAAGACAGGCAACTGATCACAGGCCAAAGAATGGATACCACCAAAGCCCAACTTGGTGAATCAATGAGTTTTATTTACACAACATGAGTGAAGAGTTATTTATAGGACCAGAAATGACTCAAAAACAGCTGCATCACCAAAGCCCACCCAAGCTTGGAGGACATCTAACAAAAGCTGGAAACCTAGAGCAAACTGCACAACTTGCAGACAGCTTAACAGGATGGAGAGTGACTTCCAGGCAGCTAGGCTTGTCTGAGAGTATCTCTCAGCAGCTTTACTGCTTATAACTTGGGGATGGAGGGACCTAGTAACTGGTCAATATCAGGGACTTGGTGAAACTACTTTGAGTTATCTCCTGTCTTAACAAGCTTTCCTGCAGGATGGAACATCTCACTCTCCCTTTAGAACATCCTGTTGTTTTATCTCCATGTAAACATCCATCTTAGGAAGTGTCCCTCCAAGATGGAAGGTTTTAATCTTGGAGGAAACTGGTACACAACAAGTACAGTCTCTCTCGACAGGAACTGGTTTGGAAAAAAATACTTGCACAATTATCTCAGAGACACGCAAGACAGAGTTGCAGGTGACTGGTGTTCCACTCCTCTCCTTAATAAAACAGGAATTTCTTCCACCTATCCAGTCCCATCACCGTGGGACCCTGCTCCTGAAAGTTTTCCAAGCAGTTCTGTGCACTCTCCTGGCTGCCTGAAGAACACAATTCAAATGGTCTTAGGTCGTATAGCTGCAAGCAACTCCTGATGCCTTTGTCCCTTAAGAGTGGGTTCATTTAGTCAGACTGCGGTTACATGTATTTTGGGCAACATTACGCAGCCGGATTTGGGGTTGTAAGGCTTTCAGTCACTCAACAACAGTTAGATGTGCATCTTCTTTCGCCACAGTCTCATTGCCCAACGCATTTCTAATGCGAGCCCAGAAGAGTGGCTGCTGGTGAGCACTCTCTGGCCAGGTGATAAACGTCTGTCTGTTTATGAGTTTCCTGAGTCGGTGGTAGGTGGACAGCTTATAGTTAGGGATCTCTTCAAGGAAGATCAAGATAATGACATCCTTGTGCTCATAGAACATCTTCATGCTGGCCAACTGGACTTCCAGCTGGCACCATTCACTGTGCAGGTACTGGTTACTGACCACACACAAAGTTTTCCGACTTGTGTTGATTGCATTCTGGATGTTCTCGAAGATGTCAATGCCGGGCTCAAAGTCCCGTTGGTGAAGACAGAGCTTAAAGGTGGTCTGGCTGCCTTCTTCTAGGGCAGGAACAAGCTTTTTATATACCCACTTCTCATCAGCAGCTGAAAACGAGACAAATGCATCATACAAGAACTTCTTCTCTGTTTTATGCCATTTAGTGAAGTACCAAGCCCTACATATGTACAAACCATACCACAGAGACGAAATCATCTTGGCACTGAACCAAGAGAAGACCATGGTGGTGAGGACTGTACTGAAGGACAATAAGAAGTAGACTTTTCCCAAGTCAAAACTGCACATGGCATCATCAAAATCTATAAGCAAACTCTGGCTGTCTGGCTGCTGACAGGGGTAGCTTCGAAGGAAGGGGATGTGGACCTCCCCTGTGTTCATTGACCAGTTCTTGAACCACATATTGTCACAGTTGCACTGAAGTTTGTTCCCATAGACATCAAAAAACATCAGCGATTTCAGATTCTCCAGATGACTTTGATTGATGACCTTCAAGCTGTTGAATCTTAAAGATAAGACCTGTAGGCTCTGTAAGCTGGAGAACATGCCGGGAACCAAGGAATCTAAGTTGTTATTTTCAAGGCGCAGAACCTTTAGCCTTTTGAGTTTTTTGAATAAGGAAGCATTTAAATAGAGACTTCTGTCTCCACCTTTTGTTCCTGAGATATCCAACTTTGTGAGATTAATCAGAGGGTCAAATTGGTGGTGGTCCAGGAATACAGAGGGATTTTTTCCTAGGAGTAATTCCTGCAAGCTACTCAATCCTTGGAAAAAGTTGCTTGGAACAACCTGTAGCCCATTTTGTTGTCCTTCTAGGCTGAGCTGTTTCAAAGACTTGAGCTTCATAAATGGAGGATATTTAAGTGTCTTAGGGGTTTCATATTTGATCTTATTAAAACTGAGTTTCAAAACCTGCAGCTCTTCCAGGCCTGAGAAAAGGTGTTCATGAAAATATGACAAGCTATTGTACACCAGGTCAAGTTGTTGTAGGCAAGTGAGACCAGAAAATGCTCTTGGTCCCATAATTTCCAGGCGGTTGTGGGAGAGAATCAAAACCTTGAGTTTTTTCAGACATCGGAAGGTCCCACGGTTGAGAGTCCGGATGTTGTTGGATCCAAGATCTAAGAGCTCTAAATTTGGAAACTGAGCAAAGGAATACCTGTCGATTGTTACTATCCAGCACCCAGCTAAGTTGAGCTCCTTCAGTGAAAATAGCCCACTGAAGGCCAGGTTATTGAGTTCTGTGATGGGGTTTCTTGAGAGAAAGAGAGACTTTAAGCTCTTTAAGGGTGAAAATGCAAAATCTGGAAAGCTTTTAAACTTGTTGTTGCTCAGATCTAGGATAGTCAAGTTCTGCAGGGACCCCCAAGTCCTGTTGCTGATGAAGGAAAGCTGGCATTTGTTCAGATTCAGCCTTTGGAGACTTGGCAGACCATCAAACTCACTGTCATTGAGATGAACCAAGTCACTGTTTTGGCCCAGGTCAAGGAAAAAAAGTCTGGTACACTTCGCCAGATGTTTAATGCCCTCCGTGTTGGTGGCATTTTTCTGGAAAACCAGTGCCTCTAACATGGGTAGGTTTCTGAGGAGGTGACAAACAGTTTCCATATTTAAGTGACCATGTCTGAGCTCCTGGTTACTGAGGTCCATAATCCTTACATTCTGCAGGTGTTTGGCTGAAAGCGTCTCCAATTTCACTAATGTTCCACTCAGATTCAAGCTCTTCAGTTGGGGCAGAGTTTCCAGATACACATTATGAATGACTCCATGGCCATTCTGGGAAGCATCTAGAGTGGCTAGGTTAGGCAGTGACAATGCAGAGAAGTTTAACTCCATTAGTTTGTTCCCCTGAAAACTCAGGTGGATCAGAGAAACCAATGACTTGGGGCTGTGGTCCAAGTAGACAATGTTGTTGTTAGTAAGATCAAGGTACTCCAGGCACCGAAGATGCTGGACTGCTTCAAGGATAACAGAAAAATTACTAATGTTGTTTCGAGATAGGTTCAAATATTTCAATTTGACAAGAGGAGCAAAGGCTTTTTTGTGAATATGGGTAATCGGATTGTGGCTTAGGAGCAAGGTCTCCAAGCTGGACAAGCCCTCAAAGGAGGTATTCACACTTTGAATCTTATTTTCCACTAAATTCAGAAGGGTCAAATTTTCAAGTCCCCTAAAGGCACCTTCATCAATCTTCCAAATTAAATTCCACTCTAGTCTCAAGTCCACCAGAGCAGGCAGGTTAGTGAAGCTCCGGGGAGGAAGGACTTGAATGTAGTTATGTGTCAGGTTGAGGTGAGTAGTATATCTAGGTATGTCACTAATGGCATCTGTCAAGTTGATGATCTTCTTCCGAATGCAGAAGACATGGTGAATATCAAATTCATACTGTGTGCACTTATTGAACCCATATGTCTCTACCAAAGACAGCAGAGAAAGCCCTGTTAACATGAGCAGGAGCTGTAGAGAAGGCACGGAGCTGCCCCAACTCATCTTGACTGCCACAGGCATTCAGGTTACAACAGGAAAAAAATTCCTTCACATATGCGATGCTCATGTTCAAAGGCATGGCCTTTACATACGGACTTTGCTGCAAAGAAAAACAGAGGTTTCTAGTTCAAATTTCTCTTCCCTAATAAGTATCTTATAGCTGCTTCAAAGAAACAAAAAAGATCAATCCCAGAATCGACTTTTTTCCCTGAGGTAAAGTTTGTCTGTGTAACAGGCCTTTCTGTCCAGGAACTCTATTTGTAGGCCAGGCTGGCCTCAAACTCACAGAGCTCTGCCTCATTCTGCCTCCTGTGTGCTGGGATTAAAGGTGTATGCCACCGCTGTCTGATTCAACACCAACTTTCAAAACACATTTCCTGAACACTCTGTTATCAAGAAAGGCTGCTGCTCTTTCTTTTTTTTTTTTTCAAGCAAAAATGTCAGCACACAGAGCCAAAAGAGGCAACATTGTGTGTCATTGAATTCATGCAAATCGGGAAGTCCTCCCCATCCTCCTCTTCCATCTGACAATAAAACACACCCCCTTGTCTTGTGGGCTGATAGCTGAAATGCCATCACTACTGAAGCATTGGATGGGTTGGGGGAACAGAATGTCATATGTGATGCACATCACTTCTGCCTCAATGTGAATAAGGTCATATGATTGATGATTTCACCACAATTTACATTTTATAGAGGGAGAGGTGAGTAGGTAAAGCTTTGTACTTAAGCTGAACTGAAGGATGAAAAGGAGGGGAGGGATGGGGACATTAGGCAGGATAAATGAAGGAACACTGAGATAACTTCATATAATTTGAGCAAGATGCCCTGACTAAGCCCTCTGATTGTAGGTGCCAGCTAGGAAGCCAGGGCAGACTATGGGGCCTCTAACAGTGGAGCCAATGTTTATTCTTAGAGCACAAATGGACTTTGGGAGCCCATTCCCTATGGATGAATACTATTGCAGCCCAGATACAGGAAGGAGGGCCTGGGCCCTCCCCCAAATGATGTGACAGGCTTTGATGATTCCCTCATGGAAGGCCTCATTATCCTTGGGGAGTGGGTGGGTGGTGGGTTGGGGGGTCAGTGGGGGGCATGGAAGGGTGAGGGAATTGGGGGATTGATATGTAAAATAAGATTGTTTCTAAAATAAAATTTAAAAAATACACCACAAAAAAGATTCCCTGACTAGTGAGGTTCAAGAACACAGTATCTGAGTATTTGTGATTCTGAGTATCTGTCTATATATTTGGTAGCTTTTCTTCCAGTGACGCGCCTGTTTATCACCATTCTTCATTTTCTTTCTTTTTTCACTTCTATAATTTAACATTGTCTATGAACTCCTTTGTTGACAAAACAAAAAACAAAAAACAAAAACAGTAATAATATAGTGTGGTAGCTAGTTTTAGTTGTCAACTGGAAATAATGTAGACTTGAGTGAGACAAGTCTCAGGGAAGGATTATCTAGATTGGATTAACCTGGGAGCATATCTGTAGGGGGTTGTCTTCACAACATTAACTGATAGGGAAAACCTAGCCTAAAAGTGGGTAACACCGTTTCCTGGGGTTGGGCTCTGAATCCTCTAACACTAGGGAAAGCTAGCTGAGCAGTTGGCGTGCATTCATTCATTCTCTACTCTTGACTATGGTTGTAATGTGGCTGCTTCAAGTTCTTGCTGCCCACATTTCCCAGCAGTGATGGACTACATGTGAAAATAGGCTCTGTGAGATGGTGTTTTGTTTGGATCTCTGCAAACACCGGGACTGACAGATTAACAAACCATGTGAGGCAAGAAGGAAATCTGGTTCAGCATGACTTACCTGGTGCTGGTTCAAATTTCTAGAGTCTGTCACTAGGCAGTTTATTTTAGGAATATTCAAGCATAGCACAATTTTGGGGTAAAAGTTTTCTGATGATAATTTACTCAATCCTACATGTACAACAAAGCTTAAGATATGTTTTCATTGAAACTCTTTACAAAGTGCATATGGCCTCTTCCGTAAAGATCTGTTCTGTTGACTCCGACACAATGCTTAAGATAAGGTGTAGGGAGAATGACTGAGGTAAACATAAAAGTCTATGGGAGTCAGGATTGGCCTGGTCCTATGGATAGAACAGAGGTTACCTAGGTTGTTGTAAAGTACAAGTGACATCTCTCTATAAGAATGGGTTTATAGAGTGAGAAGTAATGTTCAAGTAAAGGTTTAGGGAGGAAGAGTCTAGGATAAACAAACATAATAGTCTTCAGGACTCAGGTGAGGCCTGGCTCTATAGATAGCACAGTTCACCAGGCTATTAACTACATCCATTCCCAGCCTTCTGGGTGGAAAACAGGTGAACAAGTCCTTGTTGAGGAGATGACCCTGTGTGTTTAACATTCCCAGTTTCCCTAGTGTTTATCTGTGAGCACAGAGACCTTTTGCCCGCTACTCTGTTTTCTGTGCTGTCTTCTAGAAGTGTTTAGGTCTTGTTATTTTGAGGACTCTGTTTCCAATTGTTTTCTAGTTTGATACAGCAAGGGTATCAAAATTTTGTTGGTGCTGGGCGGTGGTGGCATACACCTTGGTCCCAGCACTTGGGAGGCAGAGGCAAGCGGATCTCTTTGAGTTCGAGACCAACCTGGTCTACAAGAGCTAGTTCCAGGACAGCCTCCAAAGCCACAGAGAAACCCTGTCTCAAAAAAACAAAACAAAAAAATTTTGTTGGCATTGATCATAAGCATAACAAGCTGAATTCTCTTGTTTTTTTTTTTTTTTTTTTTTTTTTTTTTTTTTTTTTTTTTCGAGACAGGGTTTCTCTGTATTGCTTTGGAGGTTGTCCTGGAACTCTCTCTGTAGACCGGGCAGAACTCGAACTCACAGAGATCCACCTGCCTCTGCCTCCCAAGTGCTGGGATTAAAGGTGTGTGCCACCAAAGCCCGACTCTCTTATTTTTTTTTAAATATGAGTGTTTATTGTATTAGGGATTTTCATTAGTTTAGTTGGTTTTTGTTGTTTGTTTTTGGGTTTTTTTTTTCTGAGACAAGGTCTCACTATGTAGCTCTAGCCATCCTAGAACTCACTATGTAGACCAAGCTGGCCTCAAACTCGAACTCACAGAGATCTTCCTGCCTCTGCCTCCCAAGTTCTGGGATCAAATGTGTGCACTACTATAAACAGTGTAGTTTTATCTGTTAATGATTATGCCTTCAGCAAGTAATACCTTTCCTTTTTAGGTTCACTCATTTCTATGCCTTTCTTTTGTGTTGATTTCCTGAAAGTGATTGAAGCTTCTAATATTGTATTAAATTATAGTAGTGGTAGAGCATGTCTTCTTGTCAATGAGATGACATCTATAAGCTTCCTCTTAATTATTACTTGCCATAGTTCTTGATAATTGTCAAGTTGAGAACATTCCTTCCCATTCCTAAATTTTTAAGATTCTGTGTGTAGGGTAGTGGTGGCTGTTTCCATGGATCAGAGAAGGGTGCCAGATTCCTGGGATCACAGAGCAGGCACCACAACTGAGCTGAAGAAATTAACCCAATGATGTGGAGCAGAGGTTGTTGTAGTTGTTGAGAAAAGGTCCGGTTCTGGAGCCCAGGTCCAGGAACTCACTCTTAACCCAGGCTGCACTGTGGTAATCCTCCTGCTTCAGTCTTCTGAGTGATGCAATTAAAGGCTTGCACCACTATGCCCAGCTTTTAAGCTATTTTTATCTTTTAGGGTAACAAGAATGAAACAGAACAGAGAGGAGAGATTTTCTATAAAACTAAATGCAAGAGGAGAGATGGGGATAGAACCAGGTATTAGAGCACGAGGCTCTCCTAAACCAAGAGAACTTAACTTTCCTGGGCATGGAAATCCATGCATATAATGCCAGCACTCAGGAGTTGAGGCAGGATAACCACTTGCTGAGGAAACTAAGTCCCACCTGTGCAACTGAGAAAGAGGAAAGAAAGAAGAAGAAAGGAAGGAAAGAAGGAAGGAAGGAAGGAAGGAAGGAAGGAAGGAAGGAAAAAGAAAGAAAGATGAAAAGAGCCGATAGGGCAAGGAAGGGGAGGAGAGGAAGGAGGAAAGGTGGAAGAAATGGAGAAGAAAGAGGAAGTAGTAAATCCATATTGCATAATGTGTCTGGAGGAAACTGGGTGGAGCAAGATGACATTGCTAGATAAATGTGCTCTTTGTTCTCAGAGATGACAAAAAGGACAGTGATACAAGCTCTCAACTCTACCAGAGTTTGCTACAGGAATATTGGAAATAAAGGAAACTAGCCATGAAGTAGTCTAAAGGCAAATATGAAAAATGTTCTAAACATGTAAATATCCTGTCCTTCAAGGGACAGATATGGCAGCATCATTAGTGAAGTTGTCCTGGGGCAGGGCTAGTAGAGGAGACAATGAGCAGACAGAGCAAAAGTCTGACCAGGAAGCTGAGGCCTGACAGCCACACAAAGAGAATTCTTAAAGGTGTGGAACCGGCTTTAGCAGGCTTGGCAGGTGGGATCCCAGAGCACTGAAGAGAGAAGCAGGGAACAAGCCAGGCTTCAAAGGCACTGCTCTTTCAGCTGAATTTTTAAAAATTACATTACGTTATTTAATTTAATTTAGTGTGTGTGCATGTGTGCGGGCATCTGTCTGTCTGTCTTTACATGAGTAGATGCAAACCAGCACAAAGCTACTGAAGAAATGCTAAAGCTTCACTTCTCTGAACACTTGGGGTTTGGCCTCCACTAGTCAAGTAGGGAGCAAAATAAGTATGTGAGAAATGGGGAAGAATGAACAAATATAGAACATATGAACTAGCTTACTCACAGGGGAAACAGAAAGGCGGGTGTTTTCTGTCTCAGCCCACAGATTCTATTCTTGATTCTGCTCAGTCCCTGTAAGCTTGCCAAGCTACCATTTCTGTGTCTTTGCTATGCACTGGCCTTTAGACAGCCACTCTTTTATGCTCCCCACAGAGACGCGACTACTTTTAGATGCAATAAGCTTCTAAACCTGCCTGCCAAATCCACACAGGAAAGGGAGGAGCTTGCTTCCCCAGTCTCCAGAGCCCAGCTAAGGAAAATTCAGCTCTGATGTGGAAGGCTCCCACTGCAGAAACTGCAAAACCAAGAGAACCTTTCTGAGAATGGTTCAAGCAAGGCTTTAAAACATATTCACTACAATGCTTGTAGAGGAGAAACTAAACCCATGATCTGTAACCACCTTGCAGGTGTTTGGGATCTGTTTCTCTTAAAGCGTCAGAATTTCCTCTCAGGTTAGGACATTTTCATTGAAGGGCAAAGAACCCCTGCTAGCTTGTTGTTCTTGCATTTTGTTGGTGTTATTTTGCATATGTTTTGTGTGTGGAGTGTATGTACTTGTTTGTGTGCCTGTGTGCACATGAGTGAGTTCTTGTGCACATGTACATACGTGTGTGGGCTCACAGGTTGATCTCTGGTGTCTCTCTGAGTTTCAGGGACCCTCCTGCCTCTGTCCCCTCACTGTGCCCAATATTTCATGTAAGTTCTGAGGACCTGAACTCAGGACCTCACTGTTTGCTACCTCCCTATTCCCAGCATTCTTTTTATTTTAAAAAATGTTATTTTTATTTGTATGAGTGTTCTGCCTGCATGTATGTGTGTACCATATAAATGCCCGCAACAGGAGCTACAGAAGGTTGGGAGCTACAGTGTGGGTACTAGGAATTGAACTTGGGTCCTTTGGAAGAGTGGCCACTGCTCTTAACTGCTGAATCATCTGTATCCAGCACCCCAGCTTAGTTTTTTATTACATGTTTTTACATTGAGAAAATAGAGATTCTTGC